ACCTTCGAAGGAACAACAAAGCCAGCACGAGTGCAGTAGCAACATTGGTCTTGTGAAGATATACCGTGCAGAAATTCACACAAGTGTAACTGTTGGTTCATTATTCAACAACCAACTACATAGTGGATTTTGAGGACGTAGAAGGATTACCCCACCTTCGAACCTCGTTAAAGTTTGCGTGTCTCTCTCTCTTATCTTTATATTCTTACTTGCAATTGTATTAACTGTGAAAACTAACCTATCCATATTGATTACTGCTCACTCCACCCACCAAATTCCGCACACAATCTAAAGTTCACAAGGACTCTAGATTAACACTCATTTTCTCGTTTTCAAAAGAAATGAAAAAAGGATTTTAAATCTGTAACAAAGTCTATTCACCCCCCCTCTAGACTTTGTATTTCACCACTTTGGGACCACCACTTGGCATCACCGAGCTCATTCGCCATGCCTCGGGCCGCCCCACCATCCACTCCGCGACCCCCGAGAGCCGGCTCCTTCTCTACATCGTGTCCCGAATCATCAAGCCCTGGAAGCATGGGCACACGATCATGTCCGGTGAGGACCTCAAGTTTCTCCACGCGATCATGCACACGGCCCTGATCAATTGGGCAAAGTTTGTCATGATCAACATGACAGTCGCCGCATCCACCGACCACGATCACCTCCTCCCGTACCCGTTCGTGGTGATGGACATCCTTGAACGGATCAAGGTAACCACCACTGTTGGCCCGCTCACAAAGGCCACGAAGCTTTGGATGATCAGCACCCAAACCTTCACCAAGCGGTCGGACAACGCCGCGCCTACCACTGCCGCGCCACGCCACACTGCCACTGCCGCTGGCCCAGCCGAACCCCAGGCCCAGGCCAACCTTGCCTCCATCGCCGACTCCCTCAACCGGCTTCACTTCAAAGTTGACGGGATGGATGGCTACCTTGAGCGGCTAGACGAGGCTGTCCAATGCCAAGGGTATGCCATGAACGCGTACTTCCAACGCGTTAACTACGTCCCCCCACCGTACCATGGCACGTTCTTTGGGCAAGTGTACGGTGACGAGGACGAAGACGATGACTCCTACCCGTCAAGCTCCCCGGACGAAGATGAGTTCGACGATGCCATCGATGGGGATGAGATGGACGTCGACGACGAGGAGGAGGAAACCGAAGACGAAGACTAGGACACCCCTAGAATTTCTCTCTCTTTTTTATTATTGTCCTGTTTTTCCTTAATCGCTTCCGTTGTACTCCGCTATTTCCCAATTTAATAAATAAAGTCATCTTTTATCTTTTTGTTAATGTCAAAAGGGGGAAGAAAAGGGTTGTGCATACACTAAGGGGGAACGTCTCTAAAAACGGGATCGTTTGATTTTAATATGACTTCTCGTTTTTTTTAAAGCACAAATTAAGGGGGAATTTTTTTTCTCACGTTTCAAAATCAAATATCCCTTAGTATGCATATCCCCGTCTTGTTTGCCATTATCAAAAAGGGGGAAATTGTTGGAACACGGGTTTACGCCTATGTCGTACTAAACCGTGTTCGTTTTATGACAGGTTTTGATAATGCCAAACCGCCGTGACAATAACAAGGTTAAAGTAAGCAAAACCAAGGCAAAGGAACATGGCATGATGATTTGAGAACCAAGAACCAAGAATCAAGAACGAAGACTTAGAACTGTATTGAGTCAGTCTTAATGTGATCAAGACCGGCACAAACTTTCAAAAACTTGGCTCTCTAGGCTCACTTCATCAAAATACTTTTTGCATTTTAAAAAATGTTTTCCTAAGTTTTAAACATGCCTAAAAACACTTGAAGTTCTCCCAAACCAAAAACCAAGCCATCCGGCGTTCGGTCTTCAGAAACCGGCGTTCGGCCTTCGGTTATCGGCGTTGGTTTTTGCTGTCTGAACCAACCAAGTGGTTTTTAACTTTTAATGATTGGTTTTTACTTCTTGGCATATTTAAATAGTTCTACAACAAAAACGCTTCAAAAACCACCTTTCGTTTTTGGTCATTTAGTGAAAACCATGTGAAACGGCGCAAACTTGGCTAGCCGTGGTTTTCAACTAAATGACGTGGTTTTCAAGATGTTTCACTTTATTTCTTAGCAAAATGAATTTAACAAATGTTTTCAATACTTTATTTTTACTTTGGAGAACTTACCTTTTTGACATCGGCTAACGACATGACTAAACCAACCATGGGTCTGGCTAAACCAGCCCAACAGTGATGTTGGTGTAACCAACAGCGCTGTCTGGCATGGGAAGCTGAAAACCATGGTTTGGCGTTAAGTCTTCCAACAGCGATGTTAGATGTTAGACATCGCTGTTGAGCCAAGGTTGGGTTTCAAGAAACATCTAGAACAGCGATGTAGACTACCCTACATCGATGTCCAACCTAAGCCAAAAAGAAATGCTTCTGGCAGAAAGATTTTGGACAGCGATGTTGACCCAGCAACAGCGATGTCAGGCCAAACTTTCCACCTTCAAAGTCAGACCTAAACAGCGATCTTCAAGTAATGAACATCGATGTAGGGACCTGACCGTTGAAAGGAATTTAAGGCTAAAACTTTTCTTGTTTGTAAGTCAACAGCCAAAACAGCGATGTATGGGTATTGGACATCGTTGTTGGCATGACCGTTTCTTCCCAATTTTAAAAACCCAAGCCTAGAACAGCGATGTCCAAGCCTAGGACAGCGCTGTCTCGGTGCATTTCAGCAAATCCAAATTTAATCAAATCCCACAAATTGTGCCAATCACCCCCTAAATGTTTTGATCCGTTGGAGCCTATTTTTCTACTATAAAATGGGGTGTTTGGGTCTGTTTTACATATCACATTACTTCACAACTCCTACTCTTTCATTGCAAATCATTCATCCTTTATTCATAGCTTTTTGAGAGCCATTTTTGCGAAGCTTGTGTTGTGTTTTTGAGCGTTCTTAGTTACTCATTATCCACTCTAAAAGAGAGTATTGTTCTTGAGTGTTTTTTTGGTGTTCTTAGACACTTGACAAGAGAAAATATTTCTCTTGTTGTTCGAAGGAAGGGTTGTTTCCTTCGAAGGTTCGTTGAGGTTCGTGTGACTCGAACTCTCAAGTTGTACGGGTTTGTTAAGCACCGTTAAGCTTAACGAGATAGTAGTGTAGCTCGAGAGAGTCTCTCGGGAGGCTGGATTAGCCACAAGTTGTGGTGAACCAGGGTAAATTCGGTGTGCCTCTTACTCTTCTCTTTACTTCTCTTCTATTTATTTTTAATTCCTGCGATTTTTTGATCAAACGCTATTCACCCCCCCTCTAGCGTTGGTCTATTATTCTAACATTGTTTTTTAGATCCTGTTGGGAAACAATTAAAGAAGATGTCACTTCTAGCTTCCAAGAATATTTTCTAGGCATTCCACCACCTAAATCCATTTGTAAGACTCTTATCACACTTATTCCCAAGGTGGACAATGCCCCATCTTGGAAGAACTTCAGACCCATTTCTCTTTCCAGTTTTCCAAGTAAAATCATTACAAAAATTCTAGCTACAAGGCTTACATCCCTCCTGCCTAAAATCATTTCCAGAGAACATGGGGCATTTCAGAAAGGGAAAGAAATTAAGCATCACATTTTGCTGGCAAAAGAATTAATTAATGGGATCGATGAAGGAAAGAGAGGAGGCAACATGATAATTAAACTAGACATGAGTAAAGCTTTTGATCGAGTCTCTTGGAAATATTTAGAAAAGGTACTGAGCCTTTTTGGATTTTCAAGGGCTGCCATCTCCCTTCTCATAGGTTTCACCAAAAAGGCCTACCTTAGCCTCCTTATTAATGGTACTCAAAGTAAATTCTTCTCTCCTTCTAGAGGGCTGAAACAAGGTGATCCATTATCTCCTTTACTATTCAATATTGCATCTGAGGGTTTTTCGAGGAGTATCAATCATTTATATTGTGTCAAAGGGCTAGAACCATATACAATGGGAAGAAATTTCCAGAATATCCATCACCTCTCTTATGTCGATGACCTGCTTTTATTTACCAATGCAGCCATACCTAACTTAATTAAACTGAGGAACTATTTGAATGATTATGAAGAAGTCTCAGGATAGAGAATCAACCTCGACAAGAGCATATTTTATATTCCCAAGAAAATTCCTACTAATAGATGGAAAAGGATGGAGCAGATTCTTGGGATAAAAAAGGGGATCATTCCCTTCAATTACCTGGGTTGCAAGATCCATAAAGAGATTACTAGAAGAGCACATTGTACTGAGCTTATCTCCCATATCGAGTCTAAGATCAATGTTTGGTACAATAGACACCTTGGCTCCATAGGTAGACTAATTTTAATAAAACATGTTCTGAGTTGCATACCAATTCATTATATGTCATCAAGTACTCTACCTAAGGGGGTCATTCATCATATTCATTCCTTGCTAGCAAGGTTCTTCTGGGCTGGAAATAAGGATAAAGCCTACCACTGGAAAAATTGGGGCCTCCTTTGCAAACCTAAAGAGGCTGGTGGTCTGGGCATTAGTAGATTGGATCTGCTCCAAATAGCCTTCAACACTAAGTTGTGGTGGGAACTTAAATTTGGAGACTCACTCTGGAAGGACTTTGTACTTAAAAGGTATCCTAAAGGGCTGCAAGGGAGAGTCTATCAAGCATACTCACCAATATGGAAGACTCTAGTTACCATTGATCAAAGGTGGAGTCACCTTAACGATGATGAAGTCCAGGAGGTAATGTGTTCCAATGGAGTGTTTAAAATTAAAAAGGTTTTTGAGTTACTTCAAGAGGGTGAAACACATTGCATGTCCTCTACTTACACTTGGCAAGCTAAACAGCCCAGCAAAGTCTCCATGTTTCTCTGGAAGCTCATTAATCACTGCCTTCCATTCCCTGAAAAGCTGAAAAGGTTTAATCTTCACCTTCCTTCTATGTGCCCTTTTTGTAAACACAATATCATCAGTGGATTTCATACATTTTTTGACTACCCCTGGAGTAAAACAATCTGGACCCACTTTTCTTCTCTTTTAGATATCCCCCCTATGCAGGCTAGTGGCGTTCTATCTTCACTTTTCCACTGGTGGTTTCAGTCTAATGATAAAACACTCAGGCAAAAACTTATAGGTATTATTCCAGGCTTCATTTGTTGGAACATTTGGAAAATTTTTAATAGCTATATTCATGAAGGAGAGATCCCAGTTTCTGCCAAGATTATCCAAAGGATCTCCTTTGACATTTATCTCTGGAGCAGCAGCCTGGAAGGAGGAAAGCTAGCTCAAAATGATGACTGTTTAATAACTTTGGGCCTCGCTCCCATTTTCATGAAATCACTGAAAGTAAATGCTATTTACATCTCTTGGAACTTTCCTAACAATAGCATTTGTCTTCATGTCGTTATTTCCCTAGAATGGTTAGAGGCTGTATTAAAATTGATGTATCTCTTCCCCATATTATAATTAAATAAAAAAAGCATTTTCAGTTTATATATATATATATATATATATATATATATATATATATATATATATATATATATATATATATATATATATATATATATATCTTGGAACTTTCCTAACAATAGCATTTGTCTTCATGTCGTTATTTCCCTAGAATGGTTAGAGGCTGTATTAAAATTGATGTATATCTTCCCCATATTATAATTAAATAAAAAAAGCATTTTCAGTTTATATATATATATATATATATATATATATATATATATATATATATATACTCTTCTTGGTTGAGCAAGTGATTGTTGTCATTTTCTTGGTTGTCTTGGAAGCTCTGTCCTCTCCCGTTGTTTTTTAGTTCTTTGGGTTTTTCTATGGTTTATTTTTATTCTCTGCTTTGGCCTGATGCTGGGGTCGGCCACCCCCTCCTCTTTGTACCTTTTTTTCTTCTCATTAATAAAATATCTCTCCTTTCAAAAAAAAATACTCTTCATTGGGATACCTATACCAAAGAGCTATGGAAGCACCTTCCTCACACTCATACCTAAAACAGACAACCCTACAAGCTTTGGGGAGTATAGGTCTATATCACTCTCATCCTTCATGAGCAAGATCAATACAAGAATTCTGGCAGACAGGCTATAGAATCTACTTCCAAAGTTCATCTCCTCTGAACAGACAGGATTTCAAAGGGAGATGGGTGTGGATGAACAGATCCTCTTGGTAGAAGAAATGGTCCACAAGATTGATTCAAAGATTAGAGGTGGAAATGTCATCCTAAAGCTACATATGGCTAAAGCTTTCGACAACATGGAGTGGTCTTATATACAAGGGGTGCTGAACAAACTAGGATTTTCAGATCATAATCAGAAGCTGCTCATGGCTAACCTTAAAGGTACTTTCATTTCAATTATGATCAACGGGAGCCCTAAAGGATATTTCCCTATGAAGAGAGGTGTTAAGCAGGGAGACCCACTGTCCCCCCTGTTATTTATCATTGCTTCTGAGGGCCTGTCCAAAATGCTTAACAAAAGTATGGCAACCTCTAAAATACTAAATTACAACACTGGTAGGGACCTACTAGTCAGCCATTTAGCCTTTGCAGATGATGTAATCATATTTAGCAATGGCAACACAAACAATCTGTTGAAACTGAAAACTCTCCTTAGGGCCTATTTGAATGCTTCTAGTTAGGAAATTAACTTGAGCAAAAGCAAATTTTACTGTGGCAAGGGGATTAATGTTGTACCCAATCTTAGGAAAAACTATGGATAAATAAGGGCAGATTATAGAGGGGAATATATGGTGAAAAATAGGTTGGATTTGTGTATGAAATGGTGAAGAAAGTATGGTTGTTTGGAAGAGGTGATAGGGCAGAATGAAGGGTAGGAGAAAAGCAATATTATGGAGTGGTTTTTTGATGAAGAAATGAAGTGTTTAAATGGGATAAAGGGGGTGCACGAAATTGGGAGAGAAAGAGGGAGTTCTTTTGTGATTTTTGTTGTATAAGGATAAACCAAATAATGAATAAGAGATAAACACACTCTTATTTTATTTGGGGCTATTTCTTTTCACACAATAATATTCACTATTCACTATTATTATATGAAATAGACTCCTAACACACACTCAAAAGTAGCCAACTTTAGAGATATTTCATTAGGAAATTGAGAGAATTAGCTTCACACCAACTCAAATATTACTTCAAAGAGTAAAGAAATGGAATACAATGAATGAGTTTTACAAGGCCATAGGGCCGAAATATATAGGGAAAACAGCAAGGAAACTTCACCACTCTTTCCTACAATTCAAGTGCATAATGTCTCTTTGATGGATCCCATAGGTTGTCCTCATTGATCAAGGCTAAAAGGGGCTCATGGTGGTGAAATGGGCTGTCTTTGGGTGGGGAAATTCGGCCATGTGAAGGGTAGGGTGAGGGAGTGTGTCATTTTGTCCATTTATGCAAAGTAAGGTAGGTGACACATCAAGGGATTGGTTGTTTATTCCTTTGGCCTTATTATAGGTTTGAGAAGTGATTTGGGGGATGTTTGGGGGGAGGAATTCGGCCATGGGACAAGGAAAGTGAGGGGGGGATGGTTTTGAATGATTTTCACACTAAGACAAAAGACATGTTTAATCCTTGTCTCCTGATTTGGTCTTTTGTGTTTTGTAATGGATTGGGATGAATGGAGATGGATTCCAAGGCCAAAAGGGAATGTATTTTCGTGGGTTTGAAGTAGTCAAAGGTGGGGGGAAGGTTTTATTCAAAGTAAGGAATATTAGGAAAGAAAACAGCACACACAAAGTAATTTTGTTTGTCCTTATCTCTTAGATTTTCAGCCATGGCTTCAAAGGGAGGTGAAGGACTTTATTTTGGTTATTAAAGGAAAATGAAATACTTTTGGATATGTGGGAGTGTGTTGGGCTTGTAGGCATTTCGGCCTAGGTTGGGTTTTGGGAGAGAAGGGTCATGGTTCGGGCTTTAATGTGGGACGGGTCAATGAGTTCAACCCAAAATGGATCATAACACCTAGACATTAAACACTTGACTTGTTGTAACACTAGTGGCGTGTGTGAAGGTGCATCCCGGGGTATATCAATTAAGCAAAGTAACATAGGTAAGATGGAAGCCTTACTAGAGATGAAATGCAACCGCCTACCATTTACCTACTTGAGAGACTTATCCTGATCAAGCATGTGCTCTCCTCCATCCCTCTTCACATCATCTCAGTTCACTCTCTCCCTGCATCCATTGTCAAAACTCTCCATAGGATGATGAGCAACTTCTTCTGGGGCTACAACCTAGGGAAGCCTAAATATCACTGGAAAAGCTGGAAAGACATCTGCCTACCTAATATTGAAGGTGGACTTGGGATAAGGGACCTTGGGGATCTGCAAGAGGCCTACTCGATCAAGCTTTGGTGGAACTTTAAATACTCAGATAGTAAGTGGGCAATCTTTATGAGAAATAAGTACGGCAACACTAATTTTGAGGAAAACATTACAGACTCTCCAACTCGAAAAAGGATTTGCAGAATACATTTGAAAGCTATGGAAATGTTGGAGGAAGTAATACCCACAGAAGATGAAATGGTAAAGATCACCATTAAACATGCCTATGAAAGCCGCAGACCTCACTCTACCATCGCTCTTAGTGACAAATATAACTGGAACAACATGCAAGTACCCAAGGTCAAACTATTCCTGTGGAAAATCAATAACGACATCCTACCCTTCCCAGATAACCTCACCAGGATGTCATCTAACTTACCTTCTCAATGTCCTTTCTGTAAAAGAAACGAAGGTTCAGCTAACCACTGCCTACTACACTGTGAAGCAATAAAAGGGATTTGGGACAATTATGATCATCTTATAGAAGGGCCGAGCTACAGACCTCATATCAGCATCAACCAACACATCCTTGAATGGCACCTCAGATCGGAATCAAAGACGCTAAAGGGAAACCTAAAATTGGTGATTCCAGGGGTCATAGCATGGAGCATATGGAAACATTATGCTTCAATAACATTTGGAAATGAAGTTCTAAATATCAAATCCATTGAATCCAACATCAATCAAACTATTAACCTGTGGTGTTGGAAAAATCGTCAAAAGGGGTGGATGATCTACGACTTCAACCTCCATCAAGCAGGGCTTCAAATGTTTTCACTCGGAGGAAAGAATCTCAAAACGCCATCAGATGAGAAGTTGGACAGCATTGATGGTTCGCCGTAAGATAGAGGCCACTAAGATGAACATTGTATGCGCAGAACCTCCGTACTAGACTTTTTTCTTGTCTTCCCTGCTTCATTCACAGTTATGTGTGTGTTTTTACTTTTGTCTTTCGGGGCTTTGGTCTTGTCCTCCTCAAACTTGTAATTCCCGTTTACTTTCTGGGCTTTGGTTTAGTCCTCTCCGAACGTGTACTTTATTATTTTTTGCAATACATATATATATATATATATATATATATATATATACATACATATACATATATACATATATATATATATATATATATACATATATACATATATATATATACATATACATACATACATACATACATATATATATATATATATATATATATATATATGCTGGGGCATCCCAACATACTGGGCATCCCCCGCCGTTTCAACCGGCGAGTACCACCCGGTCGGTCATCCCGACAAAACCACCCGGGGAGCTGGAAAGGGCAGGTCCTTCTCGGTCCCGAAGGAGCAGATCCCACAAACTCCACACTCAGGTCACACCCGACGGGGATGTGCGCTCTGTGCGCAGTAGGGACGAAGAGTGTGATATTTCAAGTGCTAGAAAAAGCTGTAGGGCAAAGCCGTCCAGCCGGAAGGTTCACGACGGTCAGCATTCTAGCGGCTGGGACATGAGGGGCGGAACCAGAACCGACCGGCCAAGGAGCGGTTGGGGGTGAAGGTTCCCCAGCCAGGCGTATTCTACAGACTAGGAGGTGGTAGGCGACCTGGTCGGATCGGGCGCTTTGACCATCGTCTCCGTGATGAGCCCCAACATAGCAGGGTGCCTAGAGTAGAGGGCAAGGCGGAAAGCCAGCCAGAGTGGCGATGCGCACGCATGCTGAACCATCCAACAACCGGGTGGACAGGGCGGAAGAGCGTTTGGAAAGGCTCTTGAAGAGAGTTCGTCGGGAGGAAAACAAGAAAGTGGTGTTGAACAACCATTTTATTATCCGCTAAGACCGGATATGTACCGTGCCAATGTTCAATAAATTTGATCTTTTTTCTCAAAAGACTTCTCGCAAAACTGGTAAGGAAAGGGTTACAGACCTATCCTCCCGGTGAATGTTCAATCGAATTGAGCATTTGAAACAAAAACCAATCGGCCTGGTCAAATGGATGAACCGTATCGACACGGTCAAAAAAATAACAATTGAACTTTTTCTAAAAAACTATTTACAAAACCGCCCAAGTGAAACACCATACTTTTTCAGAAAAGATGGTAAGACCGGTCGGGGAAGGTTGCAAACCCGTCCGCCCGGTCAATGTTCAATCGAATTGAGCATTACAAAGCCACCTCGGTGGAACACCATACTTTTTCAGAAAAGATGGTAAGACCGGTCGGGGAAGGTTGCAAACCCGTCTGTCCGGTCAATGTTCAATCGAATTCAGCATTACAAAACCACCTCGGCGGAACACCATACTTCAATCGAATTGAACTCAAAAAAAAGATAAAAGTATGTGACACAGGCCTGGTACGCTGGTCTCACACCAGTCTTGCACATATTAAAAAGACTGCGACCTAGTCGAACTGGTACACTAGTCTCACACCGGTCTTGTGTAGTCTAAATAAAAAAATAAAGAAAACATGTGACCCAGTCGAACTGGTACACTGGTATCACACCAGTATTGCACATATTTTCCAACAAGCCTGAGCCCAATCGAATTGGGTACACCGGTTGCACATCGGTTTCAGCAAAAAAAAGAGAGAGCCTGGTCGGACTGGGAACATCGGGCCTACCCCGATCTTTGATATCTTTTCCTGAACACTTTTCACCTGGGCAAAGTCAGGGTGAACCAACCTACCCAGGATAAATAAAAAAACCAAAATTGCCCACCCAATCAAGATTCAGACTCGAGTGAGTGATGGGGTCACGATGGATTCGCTTAACTTGGCTCGGAGGGCTTTTTCAAGAATATGTTCCCCCGTTTGCATGGCCGAGGCAATGAAGGGAAAGAGTTGATTGCCCTGCTCAGTCGGATGACTAGAGCTCTTGTTCACTCGGGTGAAAGAAGAAATGACTCACGTGATCAACTTTGAAGCATAGCCCATGCTTTGTCAAAACCCACCCGGGTGGCTTATTTTCTACTCAGGTAGAAAGAATGGTGAGATGCGTTAGACCGGGTAGATACAGCTCGGCCGTGAATAAAGAGATTGAGAGTTCGAACGGCCGGGTCAAAATCCTGCACCCGGTTGCTCAAGATCCCGTACAATCCACGGTGCTTTTGGTACTGACCGGTCCCAAACCCAAAGATCCCAATGTCATCAATCAGTTGCTGGGACACTTGGAAGAACCGGATGCCGACCTCCCGGTCAGGAAGTGCCTGGGCAGCGAACTTCTCTGGTTCCTGCGCAGCCCAAGCAGCGGCGTGAATAGTCCGGTCGGAGCGCTCCCTCTCTAGCTCAGCCTTTAGCTGGGCATTCTCCACCTCCAGCTGGCCCGTCTGCCCGGCCTTCTCTGCCAACTCGGCAATCTTCCGCTTAGCCCGCTCATCCGACTCCTTGGCGAACTTGAGCAAGCCCTCGTGCTTGGCAAAGGGACCTCGGTAGGCTTCGGCCTGTTCGACCAGCTTCTCCTTCATTTTCTCGGGCGCCAACCGGATTGCCTTTGCATCCTTCTGGGCGGCGACCATTATGGCCTCAATCCGGAGCTTCTCATCCGTCAAGGACATAACCAGCCAGGTGGCCCACTCCTGCCCGATCCGGGAAGAGGAAACGACGCGACAACTAGGCGGCAGCGTACTAGATTTCCGTAAAAACTTTCCCGCCAACCATACCCGAGGATTCAAAAATTCAAAATTATTCAGACATTTGATTCCCGCCCTTGATGGTGCCCACAAAGCCGAGACTCGGAGGACTCCTTGATGGATATAACCCACTAGTACCACCCGGCAAGTTCACAAACGCCCGGGGGTACCGAATTCTGGCCCCGACGTCACCAACCCCGGGAGACTGCCCGGGTGGATGACTTGAAGACTGCCCGGGTGGATGACTTGAAGACTGCCCGGGTGGATGACTTGAAGACTGCCCGGGTGGATGGCTTGAAGACTGCCCGGGTGGATGGCTTGAAGACTGGTCGGCTTGAAGACTGCCCGGGTGGATGACTTGAAGAATGACCGGCCGGAAGAATAGTAACGTTGGGACGTGCTTGACGTGCTTGTTCTTTATTATAAATAGGACTAAAAGCCTCATTTGTGAGGCATGCTGTAATTAATCCGCACGGCTTGTAACTTTGTAATCGGTCTCTACATTATTAATAACTACTCAGGTTACAGGTATATCCACCTACAATCCTTCCGTTTTTCGTAACTTAGCATTACGTTGGTTTTACATCATCAGCATAGTTTTTTCTTACTTAAAATGGAAAGTAAACAAATACTGTGTGACGGTTCAAAAAAGAAAAGGAGACAAATATTGGAGGACTGAGAGGGTGTATACTTTAGTTTAGAAATTGGGCACCTTAGCATTCCCCTTTCAATGCAATTATCAGTTCAGTTTCCTTTAGTATTCTCTGCACTCTGCTGGTCATGAGGAACTGCACCGCAACATATTCTGAGTTTCAATCAAAATACTCCGTCGAAGCCTTCTACATACTGTAATAATTCAATCCGTAGTCTCAGACTCCCAGATCTCAATTATACGTCTGCCTATTTATCTTATCCGAACTCATCAGACAAGAACAATTTATGTTATCGAGAAAGAAATTCGCATTTCTTGGATTGCTTGATCGGTACTGTAATTGCAGACGCAGATGATGTCCGTGATATGGAGATGGAGCAAATTACGAAACGCGGCGCTTCTAACTGTTGTGTCAGGCAGAGGGACGGTGACGACAACTACTTCAGCTTCCCACTTCAATTCTCATGGCCGGAGAAGTAGGGGATTCTTAAACACACTCAAGCGCCGGGAATCGCTTATTGGATTGCAGGAGAGATACAAGTGGGGCAGCGCTGGTTCCTCCTCCGAGGCAACCAGGCGGATCAGGGCGGAGGTAGGTTGCCCTCGTTGCTACAATCAGCCCGATCTCATCCTCACGAACCCTACTCCCCTCCTTGCTTCCGATGCTGTTAGTAACTTTGTCCCCGATCAAGATGGTACTAATTCGAAGATGGGAGGTTCTAATCAGGCACAGAATAATATCTGCCCGAAGTGTAATTCCGCCTACGACATGGCACCCATTCAAGGGAGCTTCTTTGAGATTGAGAGGGTTAATAAAAATGGCAATGTCAAGAATCCTGGCAGCCGGATGACCACTGTTGAACAACATTACCAAAAACCACACAGGTCGTCCTTTTGGGGGGCTCTGAAGTCCTACGGAGGTGAGCCTCCTGAGAAATGGCCCCCGAACTCGTCACCACCATCTGAAAATGGGGTAGCTGTGCATACTCCTCCAGGCCCACCATTTGCACCGGGTATCAATGTCATTCGAGCATCTGCTTTAGGAGGGAATGACGATAAGAATGAGTGGGGTGGGTCTAATTTGGGTAAGAATTTACCCACTCCAAAGGAGATCTGTAGGCGGCTAGATAAATTTGTCATTGGGCAAGAGCGAGCAAAAAAGGTCATTTCTTTATTTTCTTTGATCATTATTTATCTCAAAAAAAAATTAAATAATGCTGATTATATAAATGTGGAACAATGAAGGACATGTTATAAACCAGTTACTACATTCAAATTTTCAACTAGTGCATGCAGGTTCTTGCTAACTGTTTTCCAGGAAATTAGAAACCTTCCTGCTTTTCTCGATTTTTAAAAATGTTATATTTTTATTAGTCTAATTAGATGAGAAAGGACTTTTTAAAAACTTGTATTCTTGTAGTATTTCCGGCATAGGTTTCATCTCACCACTGTCAAGATATTGAAGCTGAGTGTTAAGAAATTTTTATATTAGGGTTTCCTATGTTCTTATTTAATCTTTCTTTTCTCTCTCTCTCTCTCACTTATTTATGGTATTTTCTTCGTGCAATTGAAGGTGCTCTCAGTGGCTGTTTATAATCACTACAAAAGGATTTACCATGCTTCTCTGCAAAAGGGGTTGGTGACTAATTGCTTTCTAATTATTGCTTATTTTACCATCTAATCAAGGTTGGCTGTCAGCGTGGTCTGTTTTTTTCATCATAAATGTGCAAATATGAATTACGCTACAATACTAGTTCTTTCATCTCTAAAAATTTGAAAAAGTATTACTTCCGCACTAGAAAATTACTAATGTCAATTGCCAATGGAGCTGAAAGAGATGTTAAAATGACGCATTAAACTTCCCTTGCTTCTTACATTGAATGAAGTTTTTGGTAGTAAACACAACAATGCATCAAGGGTCTCTCTCTTACATCCTGACCCCCTAGACCCAACAAAGTGGGAGTATGCTGGGTTGTTGCTTAACTAGAAAATTACTAAGTAAAATTCACTGCTTTGATACTAGATCGGGAGGAGAGACAGTGTTGGAAGATAGTGAAGACAGTGTAGAACTGGAAAAAAGCAATGTGTTGCTGATGGGTCCTACGGGCTCAGGTGTGCATACCAATTTGTTCATTCTCGCATGTCATTTTCTCTTTTAATTAACAATAATTTCTGTCGAGTTTAATACTGTGAGAAGTATTTGATATTCTGACAAGTGATGTCCATCGATATTGATCCCTCAATTTGGACGTCCTTGCTGATTGATTTCTCTTTAACAGGTAAGACACTGCTTGCCAAAACCCTAGCTCGGTTTGTGAATGTGCCGCTTGTTATTGCTGATGCAACAACTTTAACACAGGCAAGTGCTAACTTCCAACAAATTTGTTTGGATGGCTTGGGTCCACTGCCAGTGGAGCCAAAAGAGACACTATTGACAATGTATTAGTTTTGGGTAAATAATGAACTAAATGAAATGGCACATCAAACTCCGTTTGTTTCGTACTTTCTATGAAGTTTTGAGTAGTAAATTGAGAAGTGCATCACAGGCTTTACATAAACAAGCTCCTAGGTTTTTATAGGGGGTAAGCTTGTGTTCATCTTGACCTCAGACAACAATAGAGTTGCAATTATACTATGTTTTATTGTTGTTGTTGTTGTATATCTTTGAATGGGGGAATAACATTATCTTCAGTTCCTAGTTGTAGTATGCATGCTCTGTTAAAGTATTATGATTGTGAGATATACGTTTTAATACTCCCAAATATTAGCCACTTGTACAATAATACTTCCAAAACGCTATTTACATGGAAATCCTGAAATTTAATCTAAAATTCCATAAATTGTCCTCTACACACCTGTGTATGTGGCTTTTACAACATAACATGACTTGGGATTGGACCAGTCCTCATGTGTGCATGTACTCCAGTGAAAAATGGACGATTTACGTAAAAGGCTAAAAGCCATGCGGTGAAAAATTAGCTGGAGATCCATCCTTGGTGATTGACAAAGTATTTATTGAGTTTTTCATGTACATATATGTTTAAATGAAATGTTGGAATATTCATGTAAACATTGTTGTTTGAGAGTATTCTTAGATTATGCTAATTTTTGGGAGTGTTTAAGTGAATTTTCCCTTAAGTGGCTATATATGTAAGCATTCGAAAATCAAATATGCACCGTTATAATTACAAACATACTTTATATTAAGTCATAGGGATGTCATTTACAGTGATGTTTTAATTTCTACTCCCTCTGTTCCACAGAAACTGTCCCACTTTGACTTTCACAGAGTTTACAAGAAGTGCTAAAGAGTGAAAATGTGTGGTTGAAATTGATGGAAACAAGAGAGAAATTTTGTGAACTACGTTTTCTATTTCTTAAAAGGAAATGTGATTTTTATTTGGGACAGACAAAAAATGAAAGTGAGACCAGACGATGGGAGTATTTCTAATATGAGACAGATAAGTAGATAATGAGAAGC